TTGATACAGTACCTCATTGCGTTATCGACAAATCTCGAAGCGCTTCAAAGGATATACAGGTACTGTAAAGTGGTGTGACTGTGAGTATTTTTGGTGAGTAAACTCCCCTATCTTTTCTGCAAACCTTTTTAAATATTTCTGCTTTCCAGCTATTTATCTAATACCCTTTTGAAAGCTAACAAGGATTCTACTCAACCACTGCTCCAGGTAGAACTTCTTAACAACTCTCAGTGTAAAAACCTGGGCTCTCTCTGCTTAAGCACCTACAAAATCCTTAAAATATTAAAATAATAACGAGTTAGTCCTTTCTGGCTAATGATGAGCACCATTTTCTGACATCAGAGCATGTTCGCACCAGGCTGGGAGATGTCGGAGACAAGTAATTCTCCAGCAGAATGTATCCTGTTTCCATGGCAACTCGCTAACCGAGTGTGCAACTGTGAATTACATCACCCAAAATATATTCCACTCCTTCTCAGAGGGGTCACAAGGCCAATCTGCTTTCCTTTTTTTGGTTAAAAACGGGACAAAATCTGGTGTTTTATTTCTTCTACGATTTTAACATTGCCCACGCCAGGAGTTCCTGCATTTTAGTAAACGGGGTTATATTAACAACTATACATCACCTCGGTAATAGCACATTGTGCTTCTGAAGCAGCAGATGAACCGACTGTAATAGCCCCTGCAGGTTGACATGCTCCAAGGATGTGGGTGTGGAGCCCAGGATTGAGGCTTGAAATGCCTCAATAACAAGAGGAAAAGAAGATGAATGCAGAAAGGAGTTCTAGATTTAAATAGCTCCCATTATCTGAGGAAGCCTGCTAGGAGGCATTGAGCACTAAATTCTGTGGTTGGCTCCTCACCACCCCCACCATTATTGCAGAGGGCAACAATAGTAGGAGGGTGAAGAGACAGCAACATAATTCTTGTGTATATTTGCCTCCCTCTCCCTAATCCCCACTGAAATCCCTCTCCAGCTGCCCCTTCCCTCTTCCCAGCTGACTGCCTGGTGAACTATATGGGAGTACGGATCTTCACTATCGTTCTTGTTGAAAGCATGAACACTAGCATGCAATGAGTGCTACGTTGTGGAGTTACACAACCAGAGGTGCTCTGGGTAGACATGGGTTCACTGGGTGGACGGAGGACATGACACAAATAAGTGGAGTCCTGTAGCTCAGTGCTCGGTTTGCACTCGGTTTGCAAGTGAGAGACCTGAGTTCAATTCCAGGCAGAGGGCGAAACTTTGGGCAAGTTTCCTTACTCCACACGCCTAATAATAATCCCTCCCAAAAAAACAATAATAAATTGGTAATTTTCAATCCATGACTGTTTGTGGGACACTGCTGTGCGCAATTGGCTGCCGTGTTCACCCACAAATATACAGTCAGAAGACGTAAAAAGTGCTATATCAAATGCAAGGATTATTATTATTATTATTATCATTATTATTATTATTAACTAGTGGCATCTGCAGTAGAAACCTCACTCGTGCTGGATATTGAGCGAGTGGAAGCATCTCTCATCAATGCTCCTAGCTCTCCTTTTTGGACTATCACTTTGCTTGGCAAAGATAAAGGAAGCAGTGTTCCTTCTCAATCTTTCTCTCACTTGAAATGTCACAGTCAGCACAAAAACACTGGGGGCAAAAATACAAACTGTCTGCTCTTGAACTGGGACCTCTGCTTTTTCTAGTAAGTCAACTAGACTTAGATATGGGGGAGCATTAACTAAACATTTTTTGTCTTTTCCCCCATCCCCTGCAGACACACCACCGCTTCTGTTTACAAGGACAGTCAGGTTTGCCTGCCTTGTGCACAGCAATTTTGCTGGGACTGGAATCAATAGTAAGAATAAGTTCCTACTTGGTTGCCTACACCCCTGGAGATTGAGTAATTGCACAGCAATGCTGCCAGGCAGCTAAGACTGGACATTACATTTAACTTGCATCCTCCCAGACATTGTCTAACCAGTGCGAGCGAGTTTGGCATTTCACCCGGGTTCAATGGGGTAAAAGGAAGGCAACAGGGAAGTTATGATTCACTGAAAGAGGGTAAGCTATCTTCATCGGCAAACCTGTGTACAGACACAAAGAGGATGGATGTGATGAAACAAAGTCTTTCACAGCACTGCATTAACCACACATGAGATATCTATTCAGAAATTCCACAAGACTGACAGGGCTTGGTGCCACCTGAACATTTACTGCAGGGAGCAATTGGCATGGAGCCCATGGATCTGGGACTCGGGCTTTCATGCTGGTTTCACACCAGTAACCTCATGTTGGCAGGAAATACGCCAGCAGGAGCCTCCAGCTTCTAGTTTCCTGTCAATATAAAAATTGATAGTGTAAATGGGAACAGATGGAAAGAAATTATTAGAGAGGGCATCGCCTAAAACCAGGCTGTTCTCAGGAGGGGAATCGTTAAAATCTTTGTAATTGTCAAGATAAGTACAGTATCTTCAAAGAAAATCTTCAGACCAGAATCATAGAATGTACACAGGAGGTAGGGAGGCCACGTGACCCATTATGTCCCTACTGCAATTACGACCACCACAATCCAGTGGTGCCCATTCCCCCCCCACATCCCGAGCTTGGAAGAGCCCCCTCCTCTGAGCTATTTCCACCCTCTCCTCCACCTCCCCCCCCACCCCCCACCACCAGTGTCTATAGAACTAATTTAACAAAGGAACAAAGAAACATAGGAACATAGGAACTGCGAGATGAAAAAAAGACCAAGGTCCATCCAGTTCACCCTCTATCATCCTAGTAGTATCATGTTAAAATAATGGTGATGTGGATAGCAATTCATTCATTAGTGTACAACACAGTGGAAAACTTTGGGAACCTTAGATCCAACGTTGTCTGGTTCTTCCAAGGCTACTACATTTGCTATATATGTCGTACCTCAAATTACTCATATACTGTATCCCAAAATATTATTTTCTAAAAGAAATCTATCTAATTTGTACTTAAATGAATTAACGTATATATAACCATATATAGAAGGTAAGCTTAGCAAAACATAGGGAGGTGGGGTGGGTGGGGGGGCAACTGCGTTAGCGAGTGGCCTCTAAAAGATGTAAATACATTTGTTGTCTTCCCCCAACAGCTCACAGAAGAGTTACTTTGCCTTCTTCCCCAGCAGCAGTACTAAAATCCCAATCCCCAGTGCCCTCCATGTCTGAATCTACTGTTGAGTTATTGGACAGTCATCTACAAAATACAGTCACTACTTTACAGTATGTCCTGTGAAGCGCTTTGAGACATGCTTCTGATGTGAATGGTACTGCATCAAATGTAATTCATTACTATTTATTATTATAAAAAGCAACTCAACATAGTTTTCATTCAAATGTTATTATGATCTCAGTCTCAATAGCCACCTACTAAACATTTTATATTCTAATAACCCTCAAACGTGCCAGCCGCCACCTGCACTTCTGATGTGTGAAGTAGCTGGTGATCTGCTTTCCAATCATTTCTCAAAATGTCTGGTCAAAGGTTGGAAAGCAAAATGCTGGCCATAAAAGAGGCTTTACTGGTTTTCGGCGGGGGTGATTATGTTTCAACAACAATTGTTACCGAATCCTGCGCATTCTGTCGCAAATTGGAAGTCGAACTTGCAGTTTACGATTGCTGTATTTGGAAGCCTGTTATCCAATGGTTTCTATCTCATCTCATGACGCATCCCCAGATCTCACTGTTACTGCTGCAAACAAACCACCCATCCAGCGTTGCACATCAGCGCCAAATTACCCTGGCAACAGATACCCGAGCAGCAAAATATACCCTATCAGCACTGTTTTCTTGCATCCCTTTTATCTTGTTTTTCATTATGTCCTGGTATTTTGTTCTTTTCTCACCAATTCTCATTTAATAATAAGTAACAATAATCTTTGTATTTGATATCAAACCTCTTTCACGTCAAAAGACTTCTCAAAGCGTTTCACACAATTTACTGTGAATTGCAATGATTATATTTTGCAAGTATGTATTCAATAACTATTTATCGAACAATCTGTCAGCCCATTTCATTTTTCTCCATTCCTTCATTGTGTTAGCCGCTTCTAGCCAGTCCTTCGAGAACAGCTTACTAAATGATTTGATTACGGTGGTTTCACCAGTGCAAAGAAGCCTGACTAAGAACAGCAATAGCTTTGAGATCCTCAGTGAGTGAAGTAGGGCAGAATAAATGCAATGCTGTAACCTAATAATTAACACATACTCACAGAATGCAAGAATTAAATACAATTCTCAGTTAAGTATTTAATGCAGATTAAAGGATCCTTTGTTTAAACAAACTTGTGGTCTTCCCCATTTGCAAACAGCAGAGCAGTAAAATATTAATAATTCCCTCTTGTACTTTCTTGTGTTACAGAACAAATATCAGAACTTCCATTTCCTCTTTTTTCTACACTTAACAGAGCATCTCACATTGTGTCTGCTGAGTGCAAACTGATGTAGACACCACAGCAATAACAATAATTTACATTTATGTAACACTTTTGACAACAGGAGAACCACTGAAATAGCTCTATGCAACTGACTTGGATCCTGAGCTGGGGGTGGAGGAAGGCAGCCAAGAAAAAGGGTCTTAAGAGATTAAGTCTTAAGGAGGGTATTGAATATAGGGAGGGAGGGGATGACGCAGAAGAACTCTGGGAAAGAGTTCCAGAGAACAAGGGCAGAATGACTGAAAGCTTGCAGGACAAGATGCAGGCAAAGGGAAAGGCTGGGCAGCAGGGTCACCACAGAGCAGAGGTGTGGTTGCGCGAGGCTATGGAAACATCTGAAAGTGGGGATGAGAATGTTGAATTCGATCGACCAGGGGATGGGGAGAAAATGGGAGCTGAGCGAGGAAGGGAGTTTTGGGCTCATGTAGCCAGGTGCCTGAGATAACATAAGACGCAGAGTTCTATATGGCCTGGAACTTGTGTAGATAGTTGCTAGAAGTCCCGAAGTAATGAGGACAATATCTTTAATTTATAACAATTACCTTAAACCGCTCCGAAACCCCATCGGTGAAGCTGATGGTAAACTCAGCGATTTTTGGTGCCTGAAGCTTTCCTTTCTTTTGATTTGGCTGATACTCTGCCCTCGTTTTAACTATAACCTGCAAGGAAGAGGAGAAACAAAATTCAGTACAATGGGAACTTACTATTATAGTATAATAATACTAGCATTTGACATATTACATACAACATAAAATGCTTTACAATAACAACAACAAGAACAACTTGCACATGGGGTAGTGTCTTGGAGCGTTGAACAATGGTGGAGTTTGGTGCAGAGCCAGGAAGAAAGGGGTGGTGACCATAGGCACGGTCGAAGAGGAAGGTACACTACTATAAAGTGTAGTGACTGTGTAGCAAGCACAATTTACACACACACAACCATGAAGCAAATGACTAATTTATCTGGAGAATTGTTGACCAGGATGCCGGGAGAAGCTTTCTTTTCTTCTTGACTCATGCCATGGCATCTTTAACGTCCATCAGAAATGCAGATGGGACTTTGGTGTAACATTTCACCTGAAGTACGGCACCTCTGCAATCTAGGGCACCGCCAGCACTGCTGTGGTGTCAGTATAGACTGCAAGCTCAAAATCCCCAACACAGGGTTTGAACCCATTAATTTCTGCCCCAGAGGTGAGATAACTACCAACTGAGTCAGACTCACACAGCAACAAATCACATCATCCAATATCAACATATAAACTTCCACTATATTTAACAAAACAGAGCTTTTGACAATATCATTATCAAACAAGGGTTCAGTGTTCCATATTTATCTGAAGATCTATTATTTGTAGCTTTCTTACCCCACTTCCAATGATTTACCATCAATCTTAAACCTTACTTTTGTCAAATATTCATCCAATGCACTTTCTACCCCAGATTCTTAATGATTTCTTTATGATCCAGCTGCAATGGTATAGTATTACTACTACTAATAATAATCTTTGCATTTGATATAGTGCCTTATCACATCTTTGAGCTGTCTCAAAGCACTGTAAAGTGGATTGACTGTGTGTTTTGTGGGTGAAATGTGGCCCACACAACCACCAAATGAAAAAATCTGCAAACCTTTATGCTACGACAATGAAATGTTGTCTAAAGAGAACTCATCTGTCGTTTCATTGTTGACACTTCATATTGTTCTCGGCTGCTAGACAACATTCAAAACACTGCACAGGCAACTAGAGTCAAGGAAAGAGACTTAATTTTCTCTGACAACTGTTGTTCACTGAATACTGAGGAAAATGAATCAAAACCAACAGTACAGATCACAAGACGAATCGCTGATGCTGGAAATCGTTTTACTATGGATACTTCAGCCCTCATTCTGAAATAGTTTGAGGCTGAAGGTATTAGGAACTCATCTGCTTGTTCTCCTAAACCAATGCAGCAAGATTAGAGCACACAGTTCTTCCCCCACTAACAGATGAGAATGGGTTTCCAGGAAGTGTGGTTGAGGCCAGGATAAAAGGCTCGCTTACGAAACAGCTTGATGCTTTATTGGGAAAATGGGGAGGGTAGGTTTTTTTGAAAGGATGAGAATAAATGGGCCAAAGGATGTTGATTAGCCTCCCTTGTGATCTTGCAAAATTGTTTCCAAAATTGGGAGCAGAGAAGGTTGAGGAAGGGCATAATAAAGGTGTAGAGAATTATGAAGGGTTTTGACAAGGTAAATAGGGAGAAGTTATTTCCATTGATAGGGAGTCGGTAACTGGGGGATATAGTTATAACCGAGCCACAAGGACAGCGAAAGGAGAACTTAGGAGGATTTTTTTTATTGGGATGTGGAATGTCCTGCTGAGTAGGGTGGTGGAGTCGATTGTGGCTTTCAGTGAAGTAGATAAGCATATAGAAAGAGTGGGACTAGAAAGGATATAGGGATCTCCTTGCATTGGGAACCGGCGGAGAATTGATGGGCCGAATGTCCTCCTTTTAGTTATAGATTTATAGGTTTCTATGTTTCAAGATATAAGTTGCTCTCTTTGTTCTGGCTGCAAATCTTCCCTAAACTCTGAAGAAGGCATTTGCAGCATTTTCTGTGCCCATTTCCGCCATCATTAAATTATCAGGCTTCCTCAGGCTGAAATTCAACTTGACATAGCCCAAAAAATAATTTTGTTTTAAAATTTAAGATGACTTAGCATTGAGGACAAATTCTTAAATTCAGTCTTAATTTAGAAGCCGGTTATCCACAGTTCTTAAAACAAACCCGCTTCGAAACTAAGGCTGAATTTATGAATTTTCTTCACTTCTGGGCAATCTTAAATGGTTCTCATAGGCTACAAATGCGTGGAATTGAGGCTTGAAAGTCTTATAGTTTTAGCCTTCAGCCTTAATATTGAGCATAACTTTTCACAATTATGCAGAATTACTGCAGGTTACGACTATGAAGGGTTGGGGCCTCAGAGCTTTTAAGTCGGTTACCTCAGCACTTTATATCCTAAGAATGTGTAACTAAGTCTGGAATCAGAAATGCAGGAGAAAGAAGTGGGTTGGAGAAAACACGAGTGGTGAAAAGAAGAATAAAACATTGATATTCATAGATGAATAAATTCACAAAATGAACGACAAGCTCATCCACAAGTAGGTTAACTGAAAAGGTTAAACTCAATTGAGGTCAACAAAAGCCTAGAAAAAGTAGCATTGCAGCTTCTATCCAGTGCTGATATAAGCAACAGGGGAAAAAAACCCACATCAGTCTGGTTCAGTTGTTATGCAGTGATAAAATGAAAAGGGTTCTGGATATTCTGTGGAACATTATTCAATCAGAAACTCCATGAAACTCAATGCACAGTCCATGCCCCTTATCCAGCCAAATTACTCTGCATAGATTTACATAGACTGCTCATCCAACACAGCCTGTTTGAACTGTAGATGTCAGGTCTGTAGCCATTAAAATGGTCTCAGGCCATTACTCATCATGACCAGCCATCCTTTCATATTTAGAGGGCTGTCCATCTTCACAATCCTTCTTGGCAAGAGGAGAAAGTTACATCAACAGACACAGTTCTAATCCACCAGTTACCTTATTCATTGGCAGTCTGGTAGTTTCATGAACTGCTAACTGAGTCTGTTGATTTTTATTAATCTCTGCTTTCACACATGGAAAATCATTCCATAGGGCACTCACCCAGGACATCTGACAGGGGTTACCGCCGAGCCAGTAAGTCTTAATGTCACGTTTGTTGCTGCAAATCTCCTGGAAGGCAGTTGCCCTAAAACCCTCCTCCCCTGATTAGATAATTTCAACTAAAGCAGTAACTGCCACTTTCAGTTCCAGATCCCTTTCGGGGCAATTTTCCTCACATTTGATGAAGCAGCATGGTTGAAAAAGGACTAGACAGATAAAGTGGCAACGTACGTGACAACTCGTAGCCCTGAAAAATTCTTCGGTAAGTGAAGTGCATCTCCTGCAAGCAACTCAATAGGCTTGAAATTTTCCCTAGTCTTAGTCTGAGAAGCACTCTGAAAAGTTATCCCACACAAAGGGGATATTATTTGGCATATAAATGCCAAAATGAAAATTGTTGGGATGTCTCTGCCTTTACCTGAGATAACATCTCAGAGTGCTTCATAGAGCAAGGATTGGATGCCAAGTAAGGGAGGACTGGAAGGAGGAGGTGATTGTGGGGGGGATTTAAAGATAAGAGTGGGCGAAATGGAAGGGTAGAGGAAAAGAACCTCAAAGGATGGGGGCATAGTTGCTGAAGGCTTGTTCACTGATAGTGGGGCGGAGGGGGTTGGGAATGTGCAGCAGACTTGAGTTTGATGTGTGCAAGAGTGGGAAAGGAAAAGATAATAATCATATTAATCCTTACATTTAATATCAGATGTCCATTTATTAATGAAACATGTAGTCAGTCAAAAACACTTCCCTGTTTCATTCTTTGGTCCCCACCAGCTGCCTATTACTCAATTTCCAAATTGATATAAGTCAACTATTATGCCTAAAACTATTCACGACAGAGTGATTGATATTTTAGACCTTTCATTCAATACAAATTGGTTTCTTTTCACTTGAGATGCTTCCTTATGTTTCTATTAGCAAACCGAGCTTTTCATGAGTCACAGCTCTCTACTAGAGCCATTATTCACAACCAAATTTTGTGAAAAGATACAAGGAGTAAAATTCCCACTGCATCTAGATTTACTCCATTAACATAGCATTTCAGACCATCCAGATTTTTTTCAAATTCTTAAATACAGTTTTTAATTCTGAGGCCATTTTTTCTGTAATTTTTTGTAAGAACTTCTCATATTAATTAGTTTCCTTATATTCAGTATAACTCCTTTCACGTTGCCTCAATAGCTCTTCACAGAATATTATGTAAAGTGGAATGATTGTGTGTTTTGTGGGCGAATGCAGCAGCCAATCTGTGCACAGCAACATCCCAGAGCCATGAAGTAAAATGTAACACTGAAAGACAGAATATCAGTGGTCCTGGATTCGAGGGTAGAGGCAGAGAGATAGAGTTTTGTGCCATGCTCGCACATGTGGACGTGGATCCCATGCCTACAGATTAGGTCACCAAAGGGTAAGTTTACAGATGGTGAAAAGGAGAGAACCAAGGATAAGGCCCTGATGAATGTCACATGTGTTTTTATGATGGGGGCAGGGAAGAAGGCATTAGAGGAGACAAAGTGGACACAGGGATAAGTAAGGGTGAAACCAGGAAAGAGAAACATCTTGAATTTATATTACGCCCTTCATTTTGGGTAGCATTTTGGAGGTAGCATTTTGGAGTGCTGCACAATGTTGGGGTTGGACACCGCTACAGAGCTACTACACAGGAGGAGCAGAGAGGAGGGCAAATGGATAAGGATGGAGTAGTCGATGGTACGAAAGGGGTTGGAGAGATCAAGGAGAACAAGGAGGCAAAGGGAGCCTTGGTCGCACAGGAAGAGGACATCATTGGTGACTTTGACCAGGGCAGTCTCAATGCTGTGGGCAGGATGGAAACCAGATTAGAGGGTCTCATAGAGGGAGTGGTGGGAAAGGAAGTAGCAATCCTAGAAAGCAACGATTCGTTCCAGCATCTTGGATAAGAAGGGCAGGTTGAGGTGGAGAAAGCTAAATCTCCTCGCATTTAGAGTT